ATATAGGTGAAATATTTAAAATGAAACAGTACTCTATTCCCCTCAAACTCAAAGCCATTAAACCACTTCCAGTTCATAGTAACCCTATATAGAGTTTACAAGGCTGTAAATCAATACAGGAACAGATAACCTCATCTGTCTCCTGAGGAGCGTATGGTGGGTTTGAACTGCCAACCTTTTGGTTAGCAGTACAATGTGTACCCATCAGTGCTACCAGGACTCCTTGATTTCTGTTCGTGGTATTTAAAAATAATTATATTTGAATTCAAACATATACACATGTACCAATCATCCATAGAGTAGGGAGTTTCAAAAAATTTGTGGGAGAATTCCATTCTTTTTGATTCCATTTTTTCGATGAACTTTTGAATCTTTCTTGTATAATTGCAGACACACATATATAGATTTTAAATATATCATGACAGTAAGTAAAAAGGTATTGCTACAAGCTCATAGAAATATTTATTTAACATGAATATCAAAAGGTGAAGCGATTGTTTCTTAACATAGCTTCCATCTAGGTCTGTAAACTTCTGAAGCTTGTAGTGTTTCCATCTTCAACCCTTCCCAAAGAATTCTGCATTTTTGATTGACACTACATCCAAATGCTAGTTTTGGCACCCTTGAGGGACTCAAATTGTGTTCCCTTTTCAATGTTCTTTGAGTTTTGAAAACAAACAAACAAACAAAAAAGTCTCAAGTGGCAAGATCAGGGAAGTGGATGGGATAAGGTTTCCTGATGAAACTCATTGGAGAGCCCTTGCTACCATTGAAGAATAAATAAGTACATTGTTGCAAAGGGAAACAATTCCTTGATGCTACTTTCCTAGCCTTTTCCTCACTTATGCAGCTTTCAAATTTCCTAAAACTGCCTAATAAGCCCTTGGTGATCATTTGTGTCCTTTATCAGTATCAAGATCACTTCTTTATAGTCTCCAAAACCTTCCGAACTGACCTCTTGGTCTTGAATTCAAATGGTGCAGTAGATCCCTATGGAAGCCTCTGTTCTGATTGTTTTTCTGAAGGCGTCAACTAAGACAAGTGCCTCACTGAGAGAGCTTGTTGATGGCTGTCCACGGGTCTTAGAGACAGGTTTAAGCACGTTTTGTTTGGAATAAATCTGTGCATGTAGGCACTGGAATCCTATGTCAATGGAGAGAGTCTGTTTATATTCGTCTGTATGTAGGGAAGTGAATGGTTTATAGACATTTCAAAAGGAACACATTTCTGAGATACTTTGAATGTATTTAATTCCTAGTAATAAGTGAATTATTTTATGTATCTTGCAAACTGGAGTCTAACTTTGAGAGAGTAGGGATAATGATTTTTTTTGTGTTTGTGTGTGTGCCCCCTTCCCACACCGGTCCCTGGGTGGTGCAAATGGTTAACTGACTACTCACCCAAAGGTTGGCGCTTCAAACCCATGCAGAAATCCCTCAGAAGACAGGCTGGCAATGCACTTCCAGCCTTGAGAACCCCGTGTAGCAGTTCTACTCTGTCCATGTTGCAGATTGACAGCAAGAACCGCCTCCCTCCCCGCAGACTCTAATGTGTAGAACAAGCACTCACTTGAATGCATGAATAATTCTTAGCCCTTTGACAGTCTGAATATTTTTTTTTCCAAATCTTTGGAACTTTTATAAAATTATATTTTAATTACCCTCTATTGAGAATATAAATAATATAGGTACAAGTACATAATAACAATAGTTTTCTTTTCTCTTGAAGCTACACATGGCAGTACTGACAGTGAGTATGCATTGAAATACCCAAGCTTCTGTCTGTGTTTCATTGTCTTTTGGGAAGTGAACCATGAAAACAGTACTCTTTCTCCTCCTTGCCTTTCTTTATATATCTTAAGACTTTTGGGAGTGAAAAATTGAAATTAAAATCTATGTATTTGGTATTTAAGAATACTGGGAAAATGTGTTGGATATACTACTGGTTTTACCTATTGGCTCTTGTGGTTTCATTTTGCTTCATTTTTGAAGTGTTGGGGGGTATAACATGTTAAATGTAAAAATAGACAATGAGAGAATACCATTGAAAATCTGAGACTTTTGTTTGTAAATTTTCTAAATCATAGTAAATTATTTAGGATTTGTATCTGTCACAATAATGATGAACATCTGGTTTTTAATTCCTTTATATTCAATGTTCACAGAATTCTATATACTCTTTGTTAAAAAAAGTGAGAACTTTTCCTCTTTCTAGCTTGATACAAGTATACATATAAGCACTTAATTAATAGTATACAATAGAAAACTGTATTCTGTGAAACAATATAGTAAGTTTCCGAATTCAATGCTGTTTATTTTTCTTTAAATAGCTTTACACAAGTCCCAATGAGCCCGAGGTAAGAAAACATAGGAGAAGGTGGCCAGTATATTGTTCTTCATTATGTTTACCTGGGTCGAAGTTGCAGATTATGTGACTGTACTACTAGATGACCAGAGTAACTCATTTAGTTCTTTCAAGTGTGTTTGTGTGTGAAAACTTAGCCTGTTCTCCATTAGGACATTTTAAATAACTCCCTAGACATGTTGGGGAAAAAAAACAACAACATTGAGTAGAAATAGTCAATTTCATAACATGTTGACATCAAGAATCCCTGCTAATATAAAAATATTTTGTCATTTATTGTAGTTGATTTTGAATCCTTCCTGCTTGTGATCTTCTGGAAAAAAATATAAATGAGATAATTCTAAACCTTTGATTTATTTTTTGCCAGCAGAATATGCCATTTGTTAATTCATTGCTGTTATGGTTTGAACTGTGGCCCTGCCTCCCCACTGTCCCCTCCCCCCACCCCATTTCCCTAAAGAAATGTCTAGTTGGCTGGGCCATGATTTCACTGTTTTGGAAGTTTGATAATGATGGGATTTGGCAGTATATAATGACATAATCATTCCCCTTTGATGCAGTCTGATGTGATCAGCCATTTTGATCTATCCAGTCTCCCATTGATGGGTATATAGGGTGTTTCCATCTTTTACTATTGTGAACAGTGCTGCGGTGAACATTGGTCTGCATACATCTGTTTGTGCTATGGCTCTTCTTTAGGATATATATCAAATAAAGAGATTGCTGGATCATATGATACTTTGATTCCTAGTGGGAACAATTATTTTTATGTCTGAAAATATTATTCCTGAATAATTCAAGGCTGTAAAACAAACAACATGCAGGAAGAAGTATAGTAGGTGTACAATGAAAATGTTCCTTATGTGAAATTCTGGATTTATTTATTTTAGGTGTGTTTAGTGTGTGTGTGTGAAGTTTGGATGAAAGTTTATAAAGATAGATTTTTTTTTTAGTGTTTCATGAAACAATTTATATTTTTGTTTTGTGACATAGTTATCATTCTCTCAGTGTAACAACACTCTTCCCACTTTCTCCCTGGGTTCCCTCCTTTCCATCTCTCCTTCCTGCCTACTCCTCCTGTCTGCTGAGCTTTTTAAAAATGTTTGGAATGACTTTGTGTGTCATTAAAGACTCCACGTCCACTTCAGTTTTATTTTTCCTCCTTTTTTAGTCTCTCAGACCCATATTTCACTCTGAGGGGTAAGGAATCTGGAGGGTTTCTCGCTTTCTCTCTCCTATGGTTTTCCATGAAGCAATTATTTTATTTATTTTAAAATATTTATTTTTTCTTGTTAAACCCTCCATTTTTTGTCCTTGCCCCAGCCTTGCTATCTTCTGTTCCCACTCCCATACCTAACCTCTTCACAGTTTTGGGGTCTTGTGTGATTGATTGTGCTAAGGTTTACATTCCTCACTGCCTAGACCTGTCTTATTTGACTGAAAGTTCTCTGGGAGTAAATTGAACTCCAAGTTCTTACGTGATTTTTTTTCTTTGTTGCCTTTGATATTTCTAGAAAGTGACAGAGATATATCAGTTTAAATTCAATTACACAAAAGAAGGAGCCAGTATGGATTTTGGCAGGTAAAATTTAATTGTTTAATGAATATCTGGGTTGAGATAAACATAAACTTCTTGAAGTCAAAAGTAT